GTGTGATCAAGATCAAATACCATGCTGTTAACGAAGCGCATAATGTAAACCATAGGGCCGACCGATAATGTTGACTAATGGTAGCAGAATGTGCTACAACAGCAATGATGGTTATAATCAGCAAAACGATCACGGTGCGTTTGTTTTCCTTGACAATTCCCATCAGACCAATGATCATCAATATTAACACAATAGTCCAGGCGATCATCGCGTATATTGCTATGTGAACAAGGTTAGAATATTGATAAGTCTATCATGTTTAACAATATTAATTTACAAACAACATTATTTACTATTCATATATTTTGTATATAGTAGTCCGTTTACTTAAAGGGATATACTCTATTTTATAAATTCTAATCAAAGTAGAATATTACCATTTTCTTGAATAATAGCATTTTTGTCGGGGTCTTTTTCATGGATACCTAACTTTAAACCCGATATTACTATTACATAAATACAGGCAATAATGAATAACACGTATAACAATACCATCACTATCTTAACGATTGTTAATGTCTTTTGATTACTGAACGCCATTATTATCACTGAATATATAATTAACGACAATATGTTGTTTAGCTATTGCTTGATAATCAGTATTTGTATTGATAAAAACACTGTCTCATAATATAGTATATTTACTTTATAATAACTATTACATTATTATAATTATAATAACTAATTTCATTTTTATTATTAATAAATTTAAATGTTCTAGATCAAGGAGTGGTAAATATGTATCATTGATTTTAATGTCATTAATATAAATGTAATATTAAGATATCAAATGCATTAAACAACAAACGACAATATCAAGAGCAAACATTGGAAAAACTATTAAACGGATTTGCAATATCGTGTGTTAAGCATGCAACATTTATTTAGTCATTTCCTATGGGAATGGTTTTAATTGTTATTAAATATTATAATTTTTAACTATATTTATAACTATCATAATATACATGTAAACTTTATTTTGTAATAAATTTCTACTTTTAATTTTAATTTGCCTTATAATAGCGTAAACTGTGTCTTTTTGGTCGTATTTGATCATGGACATTTTGAATTATAAAAATTACCCTGAATTATTAAATACAAACTTATAAGATCAAATATTTTTGTTATATAGATAGGAATATACCGTATATTTACTGTTTATAGCTAACCACATTATTCATAGCTGTTGTTAAAAATAATAATTTAATTAACAGTTAAGTGTAGGTCTCTGTGTATACATAAATTAAATTTCATTATGATAATTATACATATTTAAGTAAGTTGTCTATTTATCATAATAATTTTATGCATCTTTCTATTTAAAATAGATTTAAATACAAATGAAAAATTATGAATTTGAAAAATTTGAAAAATTGAAATTATAAATATTAATTAATTTTAATACGTTATTTATTTTATTTAAACAAGTAATAATTAATATAACTAATCATAACAGGATACAGTAGCTATATTTTAATTTATAATACAAATATTTTTGTTTTTAGTTATTTATGACCCTTTGTTTGAAAAATACCACACCTTATAAGCTATGCTAACATTTGGTTACATAACATGTTATCTGTTATTATATAACACCAGTCGTAGTATTAGTCCTTTTGTATACTTATATAATACAGAGATATGTATAAAAATGTTAAAATACAAATAGTATTAAAAGTTCATAAAAAGTTGTATAACTTATTGATAGACCAGTTATTATGTAATGTTGGCTTAGCTTTGATTTTAGCAATTACATTTATTTGAATATTATTTTTAATTAACATTTTATTCAAGATTTAAAAGTTATTTTTAAACAACTCATTCATACAATCACTTCATTTAATCCCAAGATATGGCACAACAGATGAAACACATGAAGACATCACTTGAGACCGCAGATGACGGCAATGAAGACAACATTCAACAGGTATTTAACAAACAATTAATTGTTTATTGAGTTTTAAATTGTTTTTGTGTCACATTTTAGCCACAAATGTATGCCAAAGACTCTTTGGATCGTTTCGGTGATGATATGTTTGCAATCATCTTATCTTATCTTACAATTGAAGACAGTTTTGCCTACGAATGTGTGTCCAAACAGTTCCAGAGGACAGTCTTTGAAGGTGTTGTAAACATCACTCTTAGCGACCGATTTATTAGTAAAATAACAAAAGGAATGATAATTCAAACCCAATTGTTGGCTACAATCACTACAAAGCTTTCAAACATTCAGACCATAGACTCAAGAGGAATAATCAATGCATACGAAGAACACATTCCCGAACTGTTAAACACATTTCGGAATAATTGTCGGCATTTAAGGGAAATATACAGCGATTCGCCGCAAGTAATCCAATGGATCCGACCTCTAGTTAGACGTATGGCTATAATTCATGGTTCGATGTATTCAGTCGGCAGACAATCGCTCATTCATTGCCACCAATTGTCACAATTAAGTGTTAAGTATTTGTCGGATGTCTTCGACATCACTTCCGGACAACTATTGGCAAAAAATTTAAATAATTTTGACTACAGTTACAAATCCAGTGATAATAACGGATTGTTATCAGCATTTGTGGCACAGAATCTGTGCCTCAAAAGTCTTGTCGCCCGCGATATTTATGACACTATAAATATGCCACTCATTAAACTATCGCAACATTTGTCACGATTAACACAATTACGGCAATTGACGCTTCATTTGTGCCTAATATCATGCGATAACTCATTGAACGACTTTTTGCGTACAATTGGCTTAAATTGCAAACAATTGAAACGATTGTCACTTGAGATCACGACTTCAGGCCAATTGTCACTAGATTTGCAATCATTTAAGTCGTTAAGATGTTACCATCGTTTAAAGCGATTACATTTAACAATTAACATTATGGTAAACGTATCCGAATTGCTACAACCGTTGACACTCTGCCATCGATTAACACATTTAACACTTCATTTTAAACATTTTCAGTCAAATGAATATTTCCTAATTAATTGTGACAAACATTGGCCACGACTTCAGTACTTATTAATCAATAGTATTCACATCACTCGCGAGAGTTTGGTCCACATCTCGAGACTACCGGCGCTAAACACACTTCTCATTCAATATTGTTTGAGTGATGTACTCTCGGTCAATGATTTTGGACAGTTGTTGTCCACGTGTCCTAAACTACCTAGAGTTGAAATATATTTTAAAAATTCTACTGTGCCCTTTTTATTTAATGTTAATTAAATGCAATTAGTTAAGCCTAGTTTGCATTTAAATTACTACTGATGCCATTGGTGCAGGAATATTTTATATGAATAGATAATAATATTATAATAATCATGTACTATAAGATATTATCTTATTTTATATTAGTTCATGATTATTATAAATCAATGTTTAATGATTATCAAGTTATTAACCACTATTCTGATATGAATAATGTGGTTTATAGGATCGTATAGCATCGCTGTGTGATCCTTGTTTTTTATTTTATTTTTAAATATTTTTTATTATAACTATTGTACAATTATTGTATAATCAATTATTTATCAAGTTTTATTATACTTATTAATTGACTTTCAAAAAAAAAATTTCTGAATAATATTATTATCGTTAATGCAAATTACATGTTAATACCAATTAATACCAATTTAGTTAAATTTTTATACACTGTTTTTATTATTAGAAGTTAGATATCATTTAAAATCTCGGTTATAAAAGTGTTAAGAGAGTTTTAAGCATGTAATCATTGGTACAATAATTGTATACAAAACATATATTTGGTAAAGAGGCGTTCAATTAATGTTGCGCATCGCGTTTTTGTTATATCTTTTAAACTATAAGAGATAAATAGATTCTGTAAAAAGGATATAATAGAGAAAGCGACGCAGAATTTTTACATACCCTATTGAGCATTGTAGGTCACTTGGTTTTCTAAATAACCTATACATTCCAAATCATTATGTTATTTTTTAAAACATACGAGATATAA